CTCCACGGTCAGCTCCAGTTTCTCAGTTTCTCCTCTCTACATTGGAGCTGAAAACGAGGTGGAGGTGCCCATAGATCTGCTCCGGCAGCTCCTTGGCATGGTACAGTAGCTCGCTACCCCTATACCAAGATACTGAATCTTTTGCCTCCTGTTCTGTGTGCGTGTGTTGCGTCTTTACCAGTTGTTGTGTGTATTGATTTTCAGGTGAAGAAGTTTGTTTCCGACTCTTTTTTGAAAACTCTGGACGCCACTCTGACGGAAGTTATTGAGGTAACTATGTAACCACTGTCTGTAAGAAATTGTAAATGGTAAATTCAAAGTTATATTTGTGCAATAATCAGTTAAATAATCTTCTGTGTTATTGTCTCTTCTGTTTGTTGTTAAGTCTAATCCTGGAATCAGCCTCTATTACAAATCCTTCAGTGACACTCTGTATGTGTGTGTGTTCAAAATGCTGCGGGACACACTATACCACATGGAAGGTATTTATCACACATTAAAACCATGTTATTGTCGTATTCTGTAGTCCATTGAATAGCCTACTTCATCAGATTTTCATACTTTCTTCATGTTCTCAGCGTTGCAGCCGGCATTTGTACGGGAAGTGCACGACTTTGTACTGGAACAGTTCAGCAGCAGTCAATCTGAGCTGCAACGGGTACTTCATGACACGGGGGGGTTGCCAGGGGAACAGAGCCCCCTCAAGCTTCGTTGCCAAGCCAACGCTGCCTGCGTGGACCTCATGGTGTGGGCTGTCAAAGATGAGCAAGGTAATCAATTGTTTGAGAGCGTGAGCAGAACATCATGTTCAGATGTCAAAATCAGAGGGATGCTGGCTGTGTTTTTTTAAACTTTTATTTAACTGTTATTTAACCAGGAACTCCCTTGAGATTAAGTTTTCTTTATCGAGAAAGACCTCGCCAAGTTAACACACCGTCGCAAGGTTGCAAACATTTTGTTCTGGTTGCATTACTTTTTCCAGGAGCTGAGAATTTGTGCACCAAGCTGTCAGAGAAGCTGCAGTCGAAAACCTCCAGTAAAGTCATCATTGCTCACATGCCCCTGCTCATCTGCTGCCTACAGGTATAACACTACCAGGTAGACAGAGCATGCAGATATTAGATAATAAAAGTAAAATGTTACATAACACACTAGATCATGGGATTTTGTCTAGAAAATTACCTTACTATACTCAGTGGGCTAATACACATCCTTGTCTGGTTTTGAAACTTACCCAGACCTGTGATGCATGCCATAAGTTTCTTGGGGGGTATTTATTTTATTTTATGTTTTGATTGTCTCCCCGTCTGTTTCAGGGCCTGGGTCGTCTGTGTGAGAGGTTTCCAGTAGTTGCTCACTCTGCCACAACCTCTCTCAGGGATTTCCTGGTGGTTCCTTCCCCTGTTCTTGTAAAACTCTACAAGTATCACAGCCAGTACAGTACAGGTACACATATTTATTTTTTTATTATTCAATATATATCTGTAACTCCTTATTGAAACTAACAGGAGTTAGTCTGAAACTACAGCTACAAAATGGCTGAAATTTTGAAATGTAATATTTAACCAATTGAGAGTTATATTTCATAATTTAAACCAAAACACAATGTAACACCCTAAAAGTCAGAATGTATCTATGTTGTGTCTAGCAGGAACCTCCTTATCCCATATACAGTACAAAGAACCAGAGCCAAAAGTTAATGGGACAAAAGTGCTTTAGCTGATGATAGAGAGCAAATATACGTCAATAACAGTCACATCTGGCTCTCATCCACCATCGATCTGAACAGAGTGTTCATTGATGAGCTGCTGCAAATACAGACAATTGGAAATGCAGTTGAGGTTACTGGTTATTCTGTGTTGTCCTTCACAGTGTGCTGCCTTTTCATTGATTAGCTGCCGATTTGTCAGATTGTAAAAAATAACATGCAGTTAAGATTTGGCTCTGCAATCAGCCCTTTTCTGTGCACGGTCAAACTGTATACTGTGTAATGTATAGTGGTTAAAATTGTAATAGATTTAGCAGCTTGTTTTGTATTGATGATTCTGACTTTGTGCTGTTATCACTCTTCATTTAAGGCACAGGAGAAATTAGGATTAATGTGACCAATGAGCACTCTCAGGCCACCTTCAACCTCCTGTCGAACAGGAAAGACCAGCCATCCATGTACGAGCAGCTCAGAGACATTTCCATTGACAACATATGCAGGTCAGACACGGACACCAAGCACAGCTGTGATTAGAAGAAATTATTCATGCATTTTTTTGAACTATCATTGTTTATTTTTGTGTATTTCTTATTTCTCAGGTGTCTAATAGCTGGTCTGACCATGGACCATGTGATAGTGGAGGCCTTTCTGGCCAGTCTGTCCAATCGTTTATACATTTCACAGGAGAATGACAAGTGAGCAACAATTCTGGTTGAAATACAGCCACATTTTGCTTTGTGCTCACCCTGAATAAAATCTTCAACACTGACCAATAGCCACTCTAAAAATAAACCTTGTCTCTCTGCCAGGGATGCCCATTTGATCCCGGATCACACCATCCGAGCACTTGGCCACATTGCAGTGGCTCTGAGAGACACTCCTAAAGTCATGGAGCACATCCTGCAAATCCTTCAACAGAAGTTCTGCCAGCCTCCGTCACAGCTGGATGTACTCATCATCGACCAGCTTGGCTGCATGGTCATCACAGGAAATGTGAGTTCAAAGATACAATAATAACACATTTTTAAAGCGTCTTGCCTCTTTTATATGATACATCTGTGGTTTAAAGGGATATCAGGGCAGCACATAGCCACCAGGCGATCAGTGAAAAGTGTGAAGCATTGGTACAGTTATAGGGGGAGTTCAGATTTAGGCCTATTTGATAGTGACAATATTATACTTTAACTATCACTTAAATTGAAGTGATGTACCCTTTAATTCTTAACTCAGAGGGGCTGACATGCTGTAATTACTGGCAACCTGCTGGCTGCTGTGTACTTGGTGATCAGTGCAGTAGACATTAAGAATAGGTTTCAGTATTTTAGTTGGCATCCCCTCGGAGCATAATGAGGTGTTTTTGACAGCCAGTGTACCCAGAGTGTGATAGACTACAATAAATGCAGCAGATACAGATCACTTACAAAATACCCTCCTTGGTAATGATGGGGTTTTAGATTTTGAGAGAATTGTAATTAGTAAGAGAAGATTAGCTAACAAACAAAGCATTTTTCATTTTGTCTTTCTGTCTTTTAGCAATACATCTATCAGGAGGTGTGGAACCTGTTCCAGCAGATCAGTGTGAAGGCCAGCTCGGTGGTCTACTCAGCCACCAAAGACTACAGAGATCACGGCTACAGGTCAGCATCTGTTCTCACCTTGTTCACAGAATTACCAGCTGCACCAGGTCACTGTTGATGTATAGAAGCAGAAAATGTAGTTTGGGAGAATGTTAATAATTGTTGCTCTTTGCCAACAGCTGCTAAGTCGATAGCAGTAGTAGACAAATGCACATTCCTTCAGCATTGCCAATGCTTTTCCAATGGAACTAGCTAGAATTAGCTCTAGCAGTCCTCAGACGACATCATATGCTCATTTATATATCAGTGAGGGCATCGCACATTAATTTCTACAGGATAATGGAGACATTGAAACTTCACTGAACTAGAATCAATAGAAAAGTGCTCAACAAAATATTTAAATAGTTTGAGAGCTATGGTGCTTATACTATATTTCACCACTTCGCTGTACCTTTTTGAGCTCGCTAAAACTGAGCTTCCACTTCTGTGGTGAGTAATGTCTTCACTCCTCCTGCCTTCCCCACACCTACTGCATGGTGCAAGAGAAGAGAGGTGGAGAGACCCCATGCTGATAGTGGCAGAGTCATGGAATATGATTATTATGAGCAGCACGATGGGAATAGATTACAGTGCAATTATTTCTCTCTTTTTCCCTGATGATATGAATAAGTCACTAAATTTGTCGCTAGTCGTTTTTTAAAAATGCAGTCACCAAGAGGGTCTGAAAAGTTACATCATGTGTTCTGTAATGTTTGATAAATAAAAGTATATACATTACTTTTATGTCTACATTGGAACTGTGTTTAACTGTTCCCTCTCTATGCTGTCTCTCCCCCCTCAAGGCACTGCTCTCTGGCAGTGATAAACGCCCTGGCCAACATTGCAGCTAACCTGCAGGGGGAGCAACTGGTGGATGAGCTGATGGTGAACCTTTTAGAGCTGTTTGTCCAACTGGGCCTGGAAGGAAAGAGAGCCAGTGAGAGGGCCTCAGACAAGGGACCAGCACTGAAGGTACATGCTCAAATGCACAAACATCTAAACACAACAGGAAATTGCTAACAGCAATATTGGTAAAGTGGTAATGACTCTTTATCTCCCACAGGCATCAAGTAGTGCTGGAAACCTTGGAGTCCTCATTCCAGTGATTGCTGTGGTGAGTGTGTGATGTCTGTGCACGCTGCTGCCACTGTAGAGACAATTCCTATTTATTTAAGACAAGACTTTGTGTTATAGAGCACACTCAGAGCACAGTTAAATGATGAACAGTGAGTGCTTCAGATGGTCAGTTAGCATTTAACTCTGCAGACAAATATTTACCTAGTTAGCTGCAGTACAAACATCTGTGTCACCAGTTCACTGCTGCATGTCGTCACAATCACACAACCTTTTAAAAAAAATAATAATAATAATAATCAGCAATAATTCTATATAATTATGTATTTTAAGAAAAACTAGTTTTTATGAATAGTCCTATAGTTTTGTATGAATAAGTAATATTTTTATTGTACTGAGATAATAATGATATTAAATATTTTGATGTAGTAGTAATAACTTTTGATGTAGTAGTAGTAATAACTTAAAAATTATCATGTGTTTTTTAATTAAATAATTACAATTAAAAAAAAAATAAGATGACTTTTCCCCATTAAAGTTCTACATTTTTGGAAAAAATAATAATGTAACAATTTTAAGCTGTTTGCATAGAAATTCTTAGCTTGTAGTTTTATATATTATTTTATTATCCCCTTCTTGGTGTTATTCTTGTTTCCATAGTCTTTCTGCACTTATTACAATATCACATTAGGGTAGTGAGGGTTACATAATGTCAGTTTTTTTAGTACATTTCTGCACTTGCTTCATTGCACAAGATAAAACATTAACAGACAGATAACAAACTTTCATTGATACACTCAGACAGACTCACAGCACTTTGAGAAATAACAAAAAGTTTAAATGTTGAGTAAGAGACTACATACACATAAAGACTCATTACTGGAAGTTACATGCACATATTGTACTAATAAAAGTCGTTGATTATTAAAAAACACCAAAATCAGAAATGTTTTAGTTGGAATATCAAACCAAACTTGGGATTTGTAGGCTAATAGTTTAGCCAAAGTGCCTTTGGGTCAGATTTAGCTCTGCGAAGGATTGACCACCCGGCCCATGAACACAAGGCAATCTGTGCGGTGCTCGTAGATCAGGAAGAGGAAGGGATGGTCCACGGTGAAGCGGATCTGAGAGGAGAGGGGCATGAAGCCCACCTGGGTCAGGGCAGCAGCCTCAGTCCCCTCCTCATTCACAGTGATGGTTCCCTGGTGCTTCAGCTGGGGAGGAAGATCAGAAGGCTTCTGTTATTTTGAACTAGTTTGTCGCAGTTTATAAGGTGTCCAGGTGGCTGGATGTTTGATGTTTGCCTCATGGCAGATTTAGTCTTACTCACCCAGTTCATGAAAACCTTTTCAGAGGTCATTTCAGAGAAATCTCCAGCCTCCTGGAACAAGTCAGTGAGGCCCATCTCCTTCATATTTACAATCAAGTTGTAGTTCTGCTCCAGTTTAAACCGAGGTAACACCACCTCTCGAGTTCTGAAGGGAAGAAAAGAAAGGTTTCCTCATGGTATAGCTTTTAAATCTAAATATTTTCATCATTTAAACCCAAGCCAGTGTGTTTTCTCAGCTATTCATTAGTTTGTCGGGAGAGTGCCGCTGACCTGTTTGTCATGTTCTTGAGCCACTTGTTGACAACAGTGGGAGAGATCTCCTGCTCCAGGGTCCTCATGCCAGTGATCTTCCTGGGCAAGGCGATGAGCATGCTGATTTGTCCTGTGTAAGGGAGCTGTGAATAAGAAAGTTTACATCATTATTATGCAGCCTAGTTGACTTGTTTGTGGATCAGTTTGTCACTCTTCAGACGCCAAGTTCAAATTTGAAATCAGTCCAAAGCCCCCCACCTGTAGGACGTCGCAATCTAGTTCGTGGTCGGCAGCAGCCAGATAGTTTCCTTTGTTGGTCATCATTGGCACGCGTACATTTGTCTTTTCAGTAACTCGGAAGTTGCGATAGTGAGTCATTTCTTTAGGGAATTTCTGTTCCCATGTACCTGTTAATACAAACAAACAACAAAACAGATTGTACTGTTACTTTCCTCAAAGTTCTGCAACATAAGCATCATTTAAAGTAGATGGAGGACAGTGTGTCTCTGTTTTCACTCACCTTTGAAGTACAGGTAGTTGAGCAGCATCAGCACCATATTTGGGTCCACAGTCTTGAGCGGTTCCTTGATCAGACCTTTGGTCAGCTTTAGGATGCGACGGTTAGCCTTGTTCAGAAAGGCCGGGTCCCTGAAGTCCACTGACTGTGGCTCTGCAAAATAATAAGCCTTTGTCTCTGTACGGAACGTGTCTTTCACTGTGACATCCTTCTTCACGTAGACATCGTTAACAGAGCGTAGCGTGTAACCAAAGTTCCTCCTGAAGAGCCTGTGCGTCAGCTTCCTGAAGAGCTTGTGCACTGTCGTGTTGTCATAGTGATGGCTGGCATTGACAAACTCGGCGAATCCCAGAGCTTTGTAGATCTGATCGTGCGTTCCAGGTCCTGCTCCCAAAGACATCATCCCCATGGCGATGGAGATCCCAGCGGGTGCTAGCAGGATGTTGTCAGTCTGGTTGACATCGTTACGAAGACTTCGATAGAGGTTGAAGCCGAAATGGGCGTTCACAATGTTGAGGCGCTGGAGGCGAGACCGACCATGGAACAGTCGCAGGAGTCTGGCACGGCGGATCTTTGGGTCAGAGGGTTCGGCAAAGATGTCAATGTCTGGGGCTGGTGTGGCAATGTCATCTATCTCGTCCCCTTCACTGAGAAATATAAACTCATTATTCAGACATTCAAAAATCACTCTGATCTTGTTTTGGTATTTTGTTCCAGAAGACTCAAAGCACTTCATTTTACAATCTGCTATATATGTAACTGCTACGTATGTAACTATATGACACACAATATTTATATACACTTTTATACATATGAATATTCTCGGCATTGAATAGGGAAAATCCCACCACGTTGGCACCAAGTCAATGATAAGCGTTGTCGCTGTTAGGCCTCCCCCAGGCAACTCATATATTTTTATTTAATTACTTCACACCTCAGCTTTTTTCCTCAACATTTTCTTTTTCATATAATCCTTAACAGTTAATACTCACATGTAGTCATCACTGCCAGCAGCCAGGATCTTTTCAAAATCAATATAATCTTCGTCCTCGAAGCCATCAAAAATCAGGTCATTGGTGACAGTGTTTTCTTTGTGGAACTCCAAGGGGACGGCCTCCATATCTGTTGCCCCCCCTGCGTCAAAGCCTCTGGGCTCCGGTTCAGGTTCAGTGAAGTGGGAGCTGAGGTCTTTGATCCCAGCTAGGGATGGACTGACCAGCAGACAGGCCACAGAGATGACGGTGATGACCCACATGCTGAAGGCTGAGGCAAAGGGACTGTACATTTAATATGACCTAATTAATGATCAGATCAACATTTAGAAGAATTGAAATTACGTTTTAGGAGTAAAGTCAGGCCTTTACTGGGTAAAAATACAAAATATCTTCCATAAAATCCCCTTAACAGCAGTCCCAAATGTCTTACCTTTACTGTGAGCTGACGGCTGGCTGGAAGTGCTGTGTTGCTCTTGTGTGTAGGACTAAGAGCAAAGAATTGAATACAAAACTGAACTTTGATGTGGGCTCCTCCTGAACAAATAAACCAGATCAAACAGAGCAAAAAGTGCTGTGACTGACTAAAATCTTTAACTCTTCACAATTCAGCTCATCTCAAAATTTAGTTCTAATAGAGTATTTTAGGGCTAGTTTTCAGTTATTGTTGTCTTTAATTTATTCTGTTTGCAGCTTATTGAAAATAATTTTAGCTATTTGTATATGAAGGAATTCAACATGTATTACTCCTTTAGATTCCCTTTTAACAGAACGAGACAGTTTGAGTAGTGCAACAATAATCACTCCACAGTTTTCACCCTTTTCTTGTGTACATTTTTCTAACTCACAGCTGACCCGACGGCTTCCGCCAATCAAAGAGGCCAAGCCCCGTCTCCAAAAGCTGTTCAGGGACTTCTGGTTGTACTCGGTGGTCATGGGTTTTGCTGTGGAGGGATCAGGTGAGCAACTGATTTCAGCGTGCTAGATATTTAGTTGAAACCTTTTACACTTCTGGATAATGTCACATACATTGAGTGTGAGTTAATTTATAAAGGCACACTCTCTGATTTTGTTACATAGTCAACAGCTTCCCCAAATCACAAAATGTCTTCCCCGTTCAATATTGTTGTTTTGAACTCAGCTTTGACCTGTGGCGTTACAAAACATCAGGGTGCTCTTTGCCTTCATTTGTAGGTCATAGATCTTATTGTCTCAGTTTACCCAGGCTATCTCAAGAAGAGTTATAAGGAGCTGCTGTAATAACATCATGAATATACCTCAAAGTAATTATGGAGATTTGTTTCACACCAGATGGGGAAATAGAAATATTTTATCTGTGTGGAAAAAAATGGTTCATCAAATAACCAATTAAACAGATGTTTGTTTTTTCTCTCATCAGTATCAACCCACATACTGAAAAGTGTTTTTTCACAGCTCTACATAATTAATTCAAAGCAAAGATTTTACCAACATCAGCGTCAGACATAACTGTCCAGTGGTTTCCTGCATTTCTGGAAAGATTTTATTTGTACCTTTCAGGGCTTTGGCCAGAGGAGTGGTACGAAGGTGTGTGTGAGATTGCCATCACGTCTCCTCTTCTCACCTTCCCCAGTGGAGAACCTCTTCGCTCTGAACTGCAATACAACTCTGCCCTGAAAAATGATACAGTCACACCGGTACAGTGTTCACAATCTAGGCTTTTTTCTTGGAGTTAGGAAGTTAAAAAAACTTCTGAAATCATCAACATCAGGACTGAACTTTAAAAAGTACACTTCTGTCCATTAGGCCGAGTTGAGCGAGCTGCGGGCAACCATCAGCAATCTCCTTGATCCACCTCCTGAAGGATCTGCCCTCATTAACAGGCTAGACTTCGCCATGTCCACGTACCTGCTCTCAGTCTACAGACTAGAATACATGAGGTCAGCTGCTTTACTCTTCTGTATTTGGTTTACATTGCTCATTTTGTGTTTATTGTGACATCAAATGATGAAACTTTGTATTATCTTCCAGGATGCTGCGTTCCAATGACCCTGACAGGTTCCAGGTCATGTTTCGATACTTTGAAGACAAAGCCATCCAGAAAGACAAATCTGGTAAGTGCTTTACGTCTGTTCACCTTTGGCCATTTTTTCTCCTCATATAGTCTTATTCATTTTCTCAAATTCCCCCCACTTTTTTAAAATCTTCTCAGGCATGCTGCAATGCATTATTTGTGTTGGCGATAAGGTGTTTGACGTCTTCCTCCAGATGATGGCTGAGAAGGTAGGTAGCATTGTTTCTCTTCAATTTCAAAAAGTTTGGACGTCTTGTTGACCACATGTTATATTCTTTGATATCACTAAGTAACAGTCAAATCATGTTTCTCTTGCTTTAGCCCAAGACCAAAGAGAACGAGGAGGAATTAGAGCGACACGCCCAGTTCTTATTGATCAACTTTAACCACACCCACAAGAGGATCCGCAGAGTGGCGGACAAATACCTTTCTGGTTTGGCTGAGACGTGAGTGTTAATGATCCAAAAATTGTGTCTGCCTACATCCCCCACCCCCCATCATGTTGTACACAGGATGAATCCTATTTCTCATTTGTTTTACTTCTATAAGTTTCCCCCATCTGCTTTGGAGCGGTCGTGTGTTGAAGACCATGTTGGACATCTTGCAGACACTCTCTCTGTCACTAAGTGCTGTAAGTATGAACAGAGGTCTGGTGTGAACAACATAGTGTCCGAGTGTTTGTTTTAATTCCTGTGTTAAACATCTAGGAGTGGAATATTAGTGGGATATTCTCTTTATATTTAGGACATCCACAAGGATCAGCCGTACTATGACATTCCAGACACCCCGTACAGTATCACTGTTCCTGATACATACGAGGCCCGAGAGGTGAGTTTGGACTGGTATTACACTTAGGACCACTAGAGGACAGCAAAGCATTGGTTTTGAAGACAGTAGCCTCTTTTCTCCCTCAGTCTTTGCTCTTACTGGATTGTTTAACTGTGTTTAGTGATATATATTATTGAAATCGATTGTTTAACAGCCCTTCTGTATTTCATAGTCTGTATTTCATAAATGGTTGAATCCTGGTTTCCTTATCTCCTCGTAGAGCATAGTGAAGGACTTCGCTGCTCGCTGTGGTGAGATCCTGAAAGAGGCAATGAAATGGGCCCCTTCAGTCACAAAGTCCCACCTGCAGGTGAGTTTCTTTACCTTTATGTTCCCTCAGTGTGGAGATCTCTTCTTGGACATCAGAAAGGTCAGTGTAGCAGACACGTTAAGAAGATGGTCAACACACACACTCAATAAAGAGGGTTGATTTAATTGTAGCTAGTGCTTCCCTTTGATTAAGACAAAAAGAAGAGTAGTTATTCTGAAAATAAGAAATAGTAACCTAATACCCCAAATAACTAATTTGTTTTTGAGGGAAATCCTTGCATATTTTGACTATAGAGGATACTTGTCATTGTTGTTCCATCACTGCTTCTCCTTTTCCCCTTTTCTCTCTTTTACTCCATGCTAATATCTAACCTGTGTGTTGTGTCTTGTGCAGGAGTACCTGAACAAGCATCAGAACTGGGTGTCAGGACTATCGCAGCATACAGGCCTGGCCATGGCCACGGAGAGCATACTGCACTTCGCAGGCTACAACAGACAGAGTACTACACTGGGCGTGAGTGTCACACACATGTGCGGGCATCCCTGCATGTTTGTACACAAACCCTCGCCCCACATTAAGGGCGAGCTAGATTTATACAAAACTACACATCCCAAATTAATGCTTAGGTCTTAATCTGAGCTGCCTGTTGCATTTTTGTATATTGTAAGGCTGCAGGAAAAAATGTCAGTCTGTCACTTTAAGGAAACATTAAAACCACCACAATGACACAGTCTTAGCAAAGTTTTGTTGTTTAAATATTGAGGTTACCCCAGGCAGTGAGAAATGCCTTGTCACTTCCTGAAGTATCAAGAAGGACGCAGCAACATACAGCAAACTTAAAACCAATATTTGTGTTCTACCTTTGGCCTTTCGGGCTTGTTGATTTGATGCTTATTAACATTTGTCCAACATTAATGGCTTTTTCAGTTAACAAATGTGCCATTTAGTTGCTTTGTCGAGGTCTTTGGAGTTTTGTTAACACTGAGCAGAAGTGTCTCGTATCTATATATGTGTTTTATTATGTGTTCTATTGTACTCTCTAGCTCTCTAAACACTGGTCTACTTGTCTAGTTGTGTATAGCATTGTATGTCCATGTGTGCATGCTTACCAGTGTGTGTGATGTTATTTTGCTTGCTATGCGTTGCCTTTGTGTTCTTGGGCTTGCATTCTGCTATATCTGTCTTTTCATTTGCTTCATTTGTTGTATTTTGTCTTTATTAAACTGCACCGAACTACCTACCTGGTTGCTTGGCTGGTTTGCGGATTTGCTGGCTACCTGGTTACTTACCTGCAATGGACGGGTGGGTTGATTGGCTGGTTGCCCATTTGGCTAACCGGTCATGCTGGTGCTGTCCTCCACCATGTGGCCAACCGTAGGCTGCTTTCCCTCAGGTTGGTCTGAACTCTAAATACAGAGAGACAGGGCTCAGACATGATACCTTCAGTATATCCAGAAGTGTCAGAGTACAGCTATGTATCTTACCTTCGTAGCTTATGATAGTGTGGACCTAAGTGGCCCCTAAACTGTGTTCTTCATCAGACCACCCAGCTGACTGAGAGACCAGCATGCGTGAAGAAAGACTACTCCAACTTCATGGCATCCCTCAACCTGCGCAACCGCTACACAGGAGAGGTGAAGTCTTACTTTTATGAAGGTGATGTGACTTTCTTAGACTGTCTGCATACAGTTTGATTCACACTTGTCTGTTTATGTGCTGTCAAGGTGGCTGGTATGATCCAGTTCTCAGAGGCGACTCACAGCCAGTCAGACCTCAACAAGCTGATGATCCATCAGATGACCAGTGCTCTGGACAAAAAAGACCCAGAGGCCTTCACCCAGGCCATGTTCAAGATGGCTGCTCTGCTTATAACCACCAAAAGTGAGCACATTCTATTTTGTATTTAATGTCTTTCAGCAATAGTGCTGGTTATTTTTTTAGATGATTCAGTTTTGGTAACTTTCTATATTTTGTCTTTCAGACTGCGATCCTCAGCTCCTGCACCATCTGTGTTGGTCTCCTCTGAAGATGTTTACAGAACACGGCATGGAAACTACTATCGCCTGCTGGGAATGGCTCCTGGCTGCACGCAACGGGGTGGAAGTACCAGT